GATATGTAATGTGCACACTTGCTTATATTTATATGCATATCTCTGGAAAGCTCCACAAAAAACCCCTAACAACAATGGTGATGTGTGAGAATGGGACTGGGGAAGGGGAAGAGGTAGACTGCATTTTATATATACAAATATATTTATTATTATTATTGTTTTATTTATTTTAAGTAAGCTCTACGCCAAATGTGGGGCTTGAACTCATGACCCAGAGATCAAGAGCTGCATGCTCTACCGACTGAGCCAGCCAGGTGCCCCTCATTATATATTTTACACCTTTTGAGTTTTAAACCATGTGAATGTATTATTCTTTCATAAAATTAAGTGACAGAGAGAGATACTCAGATACACTTGAGGATGTCTGGGAAGAAGGAGGTTGTTCTGAGAGGACTAGCCACAGAGCTGTTTGGTGGCTGTAGCCCCTTCCAGAAAGTTGCGGGCCCTGAGGTGGCTGCATTTACTTAGCGGGCGTTCCTGGCCTCCCGCACAGTGTGAAAAGGCTGGGCCACCCCTGGATTGTTTGTGTGTCAAAGGCAGTGTCATTGGTAGTCAACCCTGTTTTCCTTTCTTCCTCCCTCCTCACCCTGAGACGGGTGGAGCTGCTCCGCTGCCTTCACTGTCCCTTGCAGGAAAGTCAGTTCTTCCAAAAATTACCCTCTGTTTCCAAAGACCCTTTCAAAAGCAATTTGCCACGTTTGGGAAGATGCTTTAACAAAATGGGAAAATGCCTATGGGGGCGCCTGGCTGGCTCAGTTGGTAGAGCATGTGACTCTTGATCGCGGGGTTGTGAGTTTGAACCCCACGTCGGGGGCAGTTTACTTAAAAAAAAAAAAAAAAGAAAAGAAAATGCCTATGGTAAGTGAAGATAAGCAGGATACAAAATCCTAAGAATAGCATGATCTCTCATAGTGATTTTAATTTTCTACCTTTGGGGATTTTCCAAATTTCCTATGAGCATTTGCCACTTTAACCATGAAAAAAGATACCTTTTCAAAAAGGGGACAACTACAGCTACAGGCCCATCCTAACCCCTTACTTCCAGGCAGAGTGCTGATTGGCGCTTTATTCTAACATCCTCTGGGAGGCTGATCAGTCCTCACATGCAATGTTCTCGAGCTGAGGAGACCCAGGAGGGGTCAGAGTGCCAGGTGCCACCTCTGACAGAGGTCAGTGCTAGATACATGTTTTGGTGAATGGGTGAGTAAATGAATGGACTGGTGGCTGAGTGCACAGAGTTGGGCAGCTCCCAGGAGCTCCTGCAAATAGTGGGGAGAGATGTCTGGCAAGAGCAACAGCCAGAGGCCACTGAGAACAGGCCAGCCCCCACCCCTGCTGTTGCCAGGCAACATGGTAGTTACCAGCCTAGGCCCAAGCACCCCTTTCTCACTGCACAAGGAATAGACAGATACTCAGGATACTAAGTGGGCAAGGAGGGTCTCCCTCCCTACATCTTTCTTTACTCATATCCTTCTCTACGTCTTTCCTCATCCTGGCAGGATCTTTCTATAACTCCTTTGGATAAAAACTCCCAGTGGCTCTCTATTGCCTACAGAATAAAGGCCCCACTCCCTGCCAGCGAGGTCAGGGCTCCTCACAATCTGGCTCCTACCGACCTCTCCAGAGTGTCTCTTGTTGTTAGCTGCTCCTTTTCCTGCTGCTCTGGGCCCTGCCTCATCCCACTCCACTCCCTGGCTCTCCCTTGACACCCTCTGGGCCTTCCCACCTTCACTCTGCCTGCCTGGAATGCCCTTCCTGCCACTGTAATCCTTTTGTCTGGAAGGTTCCTGTCCATTCTCACTTAAGGGCCATCATGAAACCTCTTACTTCACCAGACAGAATTTTGCCTCCCTCCTCTGTGTTCCTGGAGTGCTTTATGATATGGCCACAGCAGCTGACCCCACATGTGAGCATATCTGCTTGTTTCCTTGAGTGTGCTCTGCTCTAGACCAGATGCTGAAGTCCTCAGACCACTTCTTATGATCTGTTACGCCTTTGTGCCTGCCAATGAGAGGGGCTTTGAAACAATGGAACTGAACTAAAACTGCCCTATTCTTGGTTGGTGGTTTTTTCCCCTCCCTTACCTAGTTCTTAACCAAAAATGGGAATACTTCTAAAATGCAGGTTCCAGGGCGCCTGGGTGGCTCAGTCGTTAAGCATCTGCCTTTGGCTCAGATCATGATCCCAGGGTGCTGGGATCGAGTTCCACATTGGGCTCCTTGCTCAGCAGGGAGTCTGCTTCTCCCTCTCCCTCTGCTCCTTCCCCCCTGTTCATGCTTGCTCTTGCTCTCTCTCTCAAATAAATTTTTAAAAATCTTAAAAAAAAAAAAAAAAGATAAAATGCAGGTTCCACACAAGCAGGAGCCTTACCTGTCTTCCTCACTACTGTATCCCCAGGCTAAAAGAGCGCCTGGCACATTCTAAGTACCCAGCAATATCTGCTGAATGAGGATGTCAACTAGAACCTCTACTTTAGCAGTCAGAATTACTGCTGTACCTGTAACAGAAGTCGTGTTTCTGGAAAGTTTGGCAAGCCAAGGGGAAGATATCCAGAAAGGCCCAGAGCGTAGTGCAGGCATCACAAAGGTAGAGAACAATGTCTTTTAATTCCTGTTGCCAAAAGAAAACACTGCATTATTCTCCTCCGCCCCCATACACAGCTCTGTGGTGGGTATGAGATAAGGTTGACAAAACCAGTGGGAGCCAACAGGCAGATGCCTTGTCGGGGGAAGAGATCACTGGAGGTCTGTGTGAAGCCTGGCTGGTCCATCTCTAGGAGCACGATCTGGACCAGTTCCTCAATCTCCCTACCTCAGGTCTTGCTATCGTAGCTCTAATGGGCACCCACCCAATGATCTCTGGGGTTACTTCTAGTTCTAGGATAATACAGTTCTCGCTTCTAAGCTGAAGGAGAACCAACCCCTGAACCTAAAGACAATGACTATGGTCCTACACAGAAGGAACATCCCATTGAGGACAAGAATATCAAGTCCATACAGAACACGGAGTGCTTTCTTATACACGTTCCGGAGTCTCTTGACAACTCTAAAAAGTAGGCTGAGCAGCTGTTCAGATCTCTGTGGTACAGATTAGGAAACTGAGGTTCAGGCAGGTAAAATGACTTGTTCCCACAGAACTTGGTGTGCCTCTTTCTGAAACACCTGCTTAATGCCCGTTTTCCCACAAGATTGCAAGTTCCAAGAGGGCAGCTGACAGCTGCCTCTTTCCTGCTCTATCTCCAGTGCTCAGCATAAGGCCTGACACATGTCTATGGTCCTTATTTACCTCTCTTACCGACTGTAAGTCCCATGTCTGCTTTTGCCCTGCTGCTTTACCCTGAAGGCTCAGCACACACTAGAGCCTCCTCAGTACAAATTTGCCTACCGAACACAGGGCTCAGTGAGTAACACGAATGAGCTCATTGTGCTGAGCTACGTGAAGACTGAACCCCCATCGTCTGAACTCTAGGGCTCTGTTCTTTCCACTGCCCCATAAAGGAAGCTCCCAGAGAAAAATAAAAAGCCTGCTGAAATGCTCTAAGCCTGTGTGATGGGAATAGCTGCTTCCGGGGTTGGGGAAAACGGCCACAAGCAGGGGAAGAAGCTGTCGGGTCCTCTGCTAGCCAAGAAGAGGCTGGGCTGAAGGGCAACCTCACCAAGAGAGGCATGTCGCTGGGGGTCAACCGGCCCCTCTCCTCGAGTTTCTGGGGTGTGGCACTGGCCCCGTCCCCTTGCAAACCACAGTGCTGGAGGATATTGCTGAAAACCTGTGAAACACAAGAAGGGGTTCTCCCACATCCTGTCGAAACAGCAGCTAGGACCCCTGACCTGCAATCGGGGATGGGTGATCTGAAAGCTGCCTTGGAATCTTTCAAGTATGTGCCTGTGTTCCCAAGAAACCAGCTAAGACAACAACAGGGCACGGGGTCAAAGTGAAAACTGTAAAATGGGGATGATGGGGGTTATTCTTCTTACAGGATTGTGGTGAGGATTAAAAAGACAAAATGTAAAGGGGCACCTGGCTGGCTCAGTCGGAAGAGCGTGCGGCTCTTGATCTCAGGTTCGTGAGATCGAGCCCCACGATGGGTGTAGAGGTTACTTAAATAAAACTTAAAAAAAAAAAAAAAAAGACAAAATGTATGAAAAGCCCCCAGAAGCCTGTAGAAATTATCCGAATGAATATGCTGGGCAAGTGTATGGTAATGAATATTTAAGATATACATTCAACAATGTATGTTTTGGATTCTATGGAGATGGCGATTTATGGAAATACATTGAAATCAAAGACAAATCAACAGTGAGAAGAAAACAGGGCCCATCGTAAAATCATGTAAGTTTTGAACTCATTGCACCATCTTTAAGTATGCTAGCATGAAACTACCCTAACTGTTATCGTGAATAGTAGAATCTCTTGGTGGTAGGATGATGGGTTAATTTTCCTCTTTCCATTTTTTATTTTTTGTTTATGTTTTCCAAATTTTCTGCAATGAACGCTATTATATTCTAAAACAGTTTTATAGAATTTTAAAGCTCTTATTTGAGAAACACCGGTCTCTTAGAGGGGTATCCTTAGAGGCTTATGGCTGTTGGCAAACAGCACACAATTTAAGCTCTTTTTGTATGAGTGCTAGACAGCCCTTGTATTTCAGTTCTGTTCAAGTGGGGAAAAGGGTGAATTCTCTTCCAAGAAAGTCCAGGGACATACTATCAGGTTGGGGAGGGGATCTGGGCAGGGCTGAGAGCTGGTACCTGAAGGATGGTGGGCATGGTTTCATCCAGGTCATTATAGTAACTTGGCTGCTGGGTAAAGATGTTTCCTGAAAAGAGAAGAGAAAGGTAGGAATTGGGAAAAGAGGGTGGGGGAGGGAAGGGCACATCACAAATTGTTGCCAGCATGTTCTGTGACCTTTCTCCCCTTTCCGAAGCCTGTCTGCACCAGAGCAGTCCTGGCCCCAGGCCCTGCTGGCACAGAACTTTGGCCTAGCCTAGAAACTTCTCCAGCATGAGGGAGGACTTTACTCAGTACAATTTAACCTTTTAAGCACCTCTGCCTAGAGAATTACATAAAAGGCCTGCCCTGGGAGCATCTGGGTGGCTCAGTCGGTTAAGTGTCTGTCTTTGGCTCAGGTCATGATCCCAGGGTCCTTGGATCAAGCCCCATATCGGGCTCCCTGCTCAGTAGAGAGTCTGCTTCTCCCTCTGCTTCTGCCCCTGCTCGTGTTCTCTCTCTTTCTCAAATTTAAAAAAAAAAAAAAAAAAAGAAGGCCTGCCTGGTCAAACCAGCTCACCCTGATGTCCCCAAGGAGTGATCATACTTGGGCACCGTGCCTCGTATGACAGCATTGGCTTTGGAAGTGGGAGTTAGTCATCCAGGAAAATCAGGAGATACGATCTCCTTGCTCAAGAAACCTGGATGCTACAATCCAGGATTCTTGCCAGGCCATGCCTCTAATAATGTGAGGAGACTCTAGGGAGAAATTTGTCTGGAAATTCTCTTATCGTCTGCTTTGAATATGCTAGCCATATTAATCCATCCTCCTCCAAGGGGAGAGGCCTGGGAGGGACCCAGAGACAGGTTTACCACACATTTGCAGTTGTTCCTATAAAACAAAGCTCCTTTCCGAATGTTTACTACCTCCAAGCAATGCTGCTGCTGTGAGCCGGTAGGTTAGAGCATATGTTAACTGGAACAGAAACCAAGTGTTCCGGCTGCCCAAATGGCGAGGGAGGAAGGGAAAATCATAGCTAGCCAGGAGACATGATGATGTGAAATACCAACACCCTTAAGAAGAGGCCAGGGTTCTTCAGCCCACTACGATCCTAACGTCTAAGGGTGGCTGACTGTCAGACTCTGCTGAATTGCAGGTGTCCTTTGCCTTTGGGTAGGTCTGTCCTTGGTTTCCTTAATGAAAACCAAGGGGAGCCCTTGTCCCATCCCAGAAGATTTGAAAATCAATGAAATCAAAGGCCAAATGGGACAGAAAGCAAGTCACTATGTAGCCGGACTTCCTGTAAACCCTTTCTTGGATGCCACTTCTTTCCCTGACTCCAGAAAGCGGAGTTTTCCCAGCACGAGCTTGCTCAGTGCATCCCACCTCCAGATGGGTGCTGATCCCTCAACCTGTGAAGGTACTCCCTGGCCATCTGTGCCCGCCTCCTACTCTTGACAGGAGGGACTGAGCTGTCTCCCCACCAACCTCTGTTCTTTCTCACAAAACTCCCATCTGATGGTTATCCTCAAGGTCAAGTCTGAACTCCTGACCACAGCACAGAGGGCCATGTGAGATCTGGCCCGGATAGCATCTCCAGCCACCCTCTCCCTATTTCCTGGGCTGCATTCCTCTCCTGTACCTCCTCAACCTCAGAGAACAAGCCCTGTCCCCTCCCTCTGCCTGGAGTGACCTCCCAGAGCTAAGTCCACCATAAGGCAGGTGTCACCTTCTCCAGGCAGTGCCTCCTGACTCAGGTATCAGGAGCCGGTCTCCCCCCAGTACCATACAGCAGACCCCACTGTGCCCTAACCACCTGGCCCTGGGGTAGGGCACTCTTTCATAATCCTTCTAGTGCTTATGCCTGAGTAACAGGGATGTTTTACAAGCATCAGAACAGATAACATTTCACAACTGACCCTTTCCTCTCCTTTATCTGATCCAGTGATAGTGAAGATCTGACTTTTGATCTCTTAAAGAAACAATTAAGAAGCAAGGCACAACAGCGGCATCCTTCTCAGACTAAAGCAGTTCAGAGACCCAGGGTGAAGGGAAGGGACTGCCAAAGAGATCAGTGCAGTCCTCGATGGGGCCAAGGCCTGACGTACTCCTGCTTTCACAAAGCGGCTCCAAAAGTCTAACTGAAAGGCCCTGCTTTCAAAATTACACTTACTGATTCGGAATACCAATCTTGAGGTTAAAAAAAAGTAAGGTGTGTTTGTGCGGGAAGGTTGACGGGGGTGGGAGGGTGCCAGGTAAGGACTGGGCTTCTGCCCAAAGGACAATCGGCCAGTCCCCTTGTTCCCTCCTTCTCTCCCTTGTCAACACTCTTACTACAGCTGCTTTGCTCAAGAGCTTCTGTGGTAGAGACAGTGGAGGCTGCCCCCACCCTGCCCAAAAGGCCCCTTTCCTGCACCCGACACAAGTCTTCTCTAGAATTGTTGACTTCTCCCTCCAGCTGACCTCCCCAAGCCCTACTTTATTCTGCCTCTAGGATGTCCTCTTCAGCCCAACCAGGTTCTCACCTTCAAACCCACGCTGGAGCACTGGCCTCCTCGTCGGTCTCCTGTCACCACCCTTCCCGCCGGCATGCTGCCAAATTAACCTTGACACCCCAGACAGCTCTTCCTTGCAGCTCCCATGGCCTCATGTAAGAGCTCACAATACCAGGCGCTTGTAACGAGCCAGGCACTTGTAACGAGCCAGGCACTGTGCTAATCCTCACAACCATCCTATAAGGTAGGTATAGCATTAGTCTTCCCATTCTACAGATATGAAAACTGAGGCTAGAGTGGCTGACTTGGACAAAGTAACACAGCCAGGAACAGGGCTGCAGTGTGAATTGGGCAGAGCCTGCCTTCTGAGCCACCAAGCGATACTGCTCCCCAAGTGCTAATGGTTGGCACGGAGCCCTCCCTGATCAGGCCCCAGCATCCCCTTCCCCATCTCCTGCTGCTGCCCTCCTAGAATGCTCCACTCTAACCAAACTGGCCTAATAACTGTTTCTCTAACTGACCATGCTTGGTTTTGCTCACTCACCCCATGCCCTCAGTCTACAATAACATTATGAAGAGTCTTTCTCTGGGAAATGAACTGATGATTAGGGAATAATTAGATTTGAATGAGAAACCAGACGCTGTTCCAATGAAAAGGCTGGATGTGAAATTTCATATACGTTATGCTCTGACATGTTTTTCAAAAACACGCAGAGAAAAGACTGGAAGGAAATAATCACCAAATGGTTGCCTCTGTGTGCAGGAATTTGGTAATTGCTTTCCTGCTTCTTTACACTTCATATTCTCTCTAAACTTTCTAAATTAACTTATGTCTCCAACTATTCTCAGCAACAATGCAAACCATGAGACTTTTGAGGCAGCCCCATTATCCCTGAAGCAGGGAGTGACAAAGAGGAAGAGCTCGAGAGTCAGGCTTATGTGACATAAATCCCAGCTTGGCCACTTATTAGTCATGGGCTCTCAGGCAAGTCCCTTACATTTTAACCTTAGTTTCCTTGTCTGTAAATAGGGATGATTACAGAGTCACATTCCAGGGCTGCTGTGAGGATCAATTTAAGATCACATACAAGGAGCTCAGCAGAGTGCCGGGCCCCCAGTGAGCACTCACCCAAAGGTTAGCAATCACTGCTGTTCCTACTCTCACCACCAAACAAACCTCCCCACTCCTTCAACTGTTTGACATGTGGCCTAATACTAAGATCCTGGAGGGACCGTGGGGTCAAGTGTTGTCTCTACTCCCCCAGGGCCACCTAGTTGCATCTTTCGGAGTTGACATGCATATATCTGCGAAGTCACGCCCAAGCCCCATCCGCCACTGCAGTTCTGAATCCCCCTGCGCTCATCTAGGTGCTCTAGTTTGGCATGTGGGGGCAAGCTCTGTGCAGCCCTCCAGGCCCTGTGCCCTACGTACCTATCATCTTCTGGAGCAAAGGCGAGTTGCCTTTTCCAAAGAGCACGCAGAGGTCCAGGATCTTTGGGATGTCAAACAGGAAGTTATTGTAGAGGATTTCTCCAAACGCAGAGGGGGAAATGAAGTGATCCTAAGAAACAGTGCAGAGAAAGAGGATGAGAGACTTTCTGAAAGCATACTCTTGGTAAAGTAATAGCAAACTCACAAGAACAACGGGGGATTGGCTAATAAATAAAGGTCCATCCACACTGTGGACATGTCTGAGCCTCATATATTGACCTGGAGCAATAGCTATTCTTCATTTTAATGTAAAAAGAAGCAAACATATGCTATTAAATAGTCGGTTGGGCATTCATTCTAAAATACTTGTGGGTTGGGGCGCCTAGCTGGCTCAGGCAGCAGAGCATGCAACTCTTGATCCTGGGGTCTTGAGTTCAAGCCCACATTGGGCATAGAGCTTACTTAAAAAAAAAAATAAAATAAAAATATTTATGGGTAAATTACTGTGATATTTGGAATTGCTTTAAAATACTCCAGGAAAGGGGCGCCTGGGTGGCTCAGTCGGTTAAGTGTCTGCCTTTGGCTCAGGTCATGATCCCAGGGTCCTGGGATCGAGCCCTGAATTGGGCTCCCTGCTCCACAGGAAGCCTGCTTTTCCCTCTCCCATTCCCCCTGCTTGTGTTCCCTCTCTCGCTGTCTCTCTGTCAAATAAATAAATAAAATCCTTAAAATAAAATAAAATAAAAGGGGTACCTGGGTGGCTCAGTCAGCTAAGTGCCCAACTCTTGATTTTGGCTCAGGTCATGATCTCAGGGTTGTGAGATTGAGCCCCGTGTTGGGCTCTGTGCTGGGTGTGGAGCCTGCTTAAGATTCTCGCTTTCCCTCTCCCTCTGCCCTCCCCCTCTGCCTCCCCTGCACTCACTCACACGCTCATGCTCGCTCTCTCGCCCTCAAAAGAAAAAAAAAAAAAGATACTCTGGGGGAAAAAATACTCTAGGGGAAAAAAACTCGGGAAGAAAGAAAATAAGACTGGCAAAATAATGATAATTGTTGAAGCTGGGTGACAGGTACATGGGATTCATTATGCTTTTGCATATATTTGAAAATTTCCATACTACAGAAGTTAAAAAAAAAAAAAGGCAAGATCCTATTGTAAAAATAAATATGCACTCACACACACAAATATACTGAAAGGAAAAAAATTCCCTGAAGGAACATGCACCATAATGGTGGTTATTTTTGGGGAAAGGGATTTTGTGGCGACTTTTACTATCTACAAAATATTTCTGTAATGTTTGAGTTGTTTAGAGACAGCGTTATTTTTAAAACCAGGGGGAGAAAAGCAAAGGTTTTTAAAAAGCACATAAAAGTTCCTTTAACAAATCAGAATCAATGTTTTCACCCTCTGACGCATGAAAAAAGGCAGAGTCACGCGTCACCTGGCAAAAGGCCCTCAGCTCCCATTGATGAAAACACTGGATGTAATGCAGACCCAGTGAATTCACAGATAAGGGGGTGGCCATAGATTTCTTCCCCAAAGGTGGGAATGAAGGCAGAGGGGAGACAAAGAGGAAACGCAATACTTCCAGAGCCTTCCTTCCCAGGGGCGGGAGACTCTGGCACAGAGGTGCTGGGTGTCGGGTGGAGCCCTGTTGTGGGATCAGGGGCTTACTTTGGATTCCTTGTGAGTGGACATGCGGAGGAAAGTGAGGAAAACACTTCGATGGAGGCGCTTCTGCATGTCAACAACCTCAGGGGCCGGGGCCACCCACTCATCGAACTTTCGGGGTACATAGCGCAGATAGGAGTCCAGGCACTTCTGCAGGGTTTCATCGAAGATAACCTATGTCAGACAACAGATCAGAGCGAGGATTTGTCACTGAGGCCCAAGGGCTTGTGGGTGGACTGCGCAGGGGTTCACGGCCTACCAGCCCTGGCCTAAGGCAAACACTCCAACCCCAAGGGCCTAAGGAGGTATGAATGAGCCGAGGGCTAAACACAAGTTTCTAAAAATGACACGCTGGAAGGCGTTGTGTAAACATCATTAAGATTGTGATACAAGACAGAGCAATCCAAACTACAATTTGCTGTTAAGGATCCAGTGTAAGAAGTAGGAAAAAAAGCATCTCCTAGGGGGAGAAAAACAACAACAGCAACCAACCAACGGCATGTCATGTGCTTTGTCTTAGTGTTAATTTTGATAGAATGTTACCTGGCACCAGAATTTATCGTGAGGCAAGGCCAGGAGCCAGTCGAGGTCATTGGCTACGAAGGTGGCGCGTTCCAGGTACTCCTCCACTAGGGCGGGAATGTTGTCTTTAGGGGGCGGTTTGTATAACACAAAATACCGGTCTGCCTTCTGCTCGGGGTGCTACGGATCCAAAAACCACGTGTTAACGTGGCAGAGGTTAGTCAGCGAGGGCCCATTTGCCAACCCACAGCAATGACAACACTTGGCTGTTCCAACCAGTGACCCTCCAAGGAGTTTTTAAGCATAAAGAACCAAGTGTCTCTAACAAAGGGGGCTTGGTTGCATCCAGGGAACGCTAGGCAGGCATTAAAAAATATGTGTTTTGGAGGATATTTAATGACATGGGGAAAGGTCAAGGGAAGAGAAAGCAGGACATAAACCTATTTAATATATAATCAGTTTGGGGATCTTTAAAGAAGTATATATTTTTAACCCAGGTTAAAAAAAAAAAACAAAAAACGGCTGGGGCTGGGGGGCGGGGAATGCAGTAATGCAGTTAACATACCAAAGCTAATAGTGGTTATCTTTGGAGAGGGGAATTATAACTCGAATGTATTTTCCAATTTAAAAAACATATACATGTATTACTTTTTAAGTTATTTTGTAATTATACAAGGGAGACATGCACATCTTTTCTTTCAAAACTTACAACCCTGCAGAGAAGGTGAGTCTTCTGGGACCACACTCCCAGTCCCCACATCCTCCCAGGGGTGACCACTCACCATTAGGTGAGTGTCCTTGCAGACCTTCTCTAGGCTTTTATGGGAAAATATACCCATAGAAGGTATTTTAGATCTCTTTTCACGTTTCTTACATAAATAGTATCATACTGTATGTATCATGCTATATCCTTAGAATCAGGGGAAAAAACCTCGGTAACTTTTTGCTTTTAAAGAAAAGATGCTATGGAGCACTGGGTGTTATGCACAAACAATGAATCATGGAACACTATATCTAAAACTAATGATGTAATGTATGGGGATTAATATAACAATAAAAAAATTTTAAAAAAAAGAAAAGATGCTAATCAAGTAATTGCAGGTCTCAGCTTAGAATCAAAAGTTCTCTCTCCCAACCCTTACCTTGCCATGAACAAACCTTACTTTGTTCACCATAAAGAAGAGATGATGAGCTCAGTTTTCTCCTCTGACTACATAAGGGCTGCTTTCTCTGGGGGAAGTGGTAATAGGAGGAAGGCCGGGCAACGTTATCAGCAGTTATCAACCATAATCCACCCACTTCCAGGTCTGTCAGTCCAGGGGGACAGGAAAATCATGACTGATTGGTTGGTTTCCTCAAGAACCCCCTATGCCTCCCTACTGCCTGATGCAAGTTTTCAAACTGTGGAGTCTTTGGATCCCACAAGGATTCCTCGGGGGCCCCTATCAGGTGGGTCTTCAGGACCCCTCCCATTGAAATCAGAATTTATACAGTGGGCTTCCAGGGACAAACTTTTTGAAAAAGGGAATCCTGCTGACTGAAACAAGTTCAAAACTACTCTCTAGGACCTAAATTCATCTCCTTGGTTTCCACGCTGCTCCCCTCGTCTTTCCGTTGACACCTCATCTCTTCAGTCACTTCTTAGGCAAGGCTACTCATCGCCTCCTACTCTGACAGAGAGACAGACAGACAGACAGACAGACACACACACACACACACACACACACACACACACCCTGAGATTTGGCCATCCTTGCATTCCTACAAACATTTCCTGGCACGCTATTGTGTGGTGAGGCACATGGAGAAAACATCTGCATGCTCACAGAGCCTATGCTCCAGAGGGGGAGATGCACATCTAAGCCAGTAAGTGAGCACAAAACAGAGAAAGTGACAGCCCAAACCTGGCAGAGGGACTGTGGGAGGGCCAAAGGTGATTATCTGCACCTGGAGGACAAGGGACAACTTCCCGGGGCAAGCAGCATCTAAGCTGGGCCTTGGAAATGAGAAGGATTTTTTGATGGAAGAAATGGTATATTATGAAGGCATAAAAATGGGCCATGAGAAAAAAGGGCCCAGACTGCATGGGTGGTGGGAAATAGATATGGAGGGAGAGAACACTGGAATGGTGATAATAAAGGCCACCACTTACCAAGACCTGCCCTGTGCCGGCTGCTGAGTAGGTATGTCCCACAGCCTATTTTTCATCTATAACTATTTAAAAGGGAGATAGTATTCTTCCCATTTTACAGAGGAGGAAACAAAGAATCAGTAAGGTTCAGGAATTTTGCTAAGGTCACAGGGCTAAGGAGGCAACGGAGGCAGGACTTGAACCAAAGCTTACACTGCAGACTGCTGAATAACCTCCAGTACCCACGTGCTATCCTGGTCTCGCTGCTTAGCCTTCTGATCCCAGCTCTGACCTCACCTACTCCAGGAAGTCTCCCCAACTCCCACCTCTGACCATGTTAGGTGTTCACCTGGGCTCCCCCAATACCTGCACTCTGTGCTTCCCCAACCACAGCACCTGTTGAACTGCGTCAAAGTACTTTCCAGATCAGTGGCTGCTGCACATGGGGAGAGAAGAAAGGATGGGTCACAGAAGGGCACAAGGAAACTTTCTAGGAGCGGTAGAAATGTTCATTATCTTGATTATGATGACAGTTTCCTAGGTGTATACTAATGTCAATACCAACCAAGTTGTATACTTTCAATATGTACAGTTTATTGTCTTTCAATCATGCCCCAATAAAGTTATATGAAAAGGAAGGGCATGCCTTCTTTGTTTCCCCTATTAGCCGTAGGTCTCTGGAAGCAGTCTGGGCTTTGCTCACAGCATTCCCAGTCCCTAGAACATATCTGGCATCGAGCAGACTCTCCGTATACATTTGCTGGCTGGACAAAGCATGAATGCGGGTCATGAAGGACCAGATCCCACCAAGTTCTTTGAAGGACCTTGAATGCCAAACTCAAGAGTGGGGACTTTATTCTGTAGGTGACAAGAACCGTGGGAGCTTTCAGGGCAGAGACCAGCAGGCCCCAGCTGTATCTTCCACCCTTCGAGCTTGGCTCAGGTCCCACTTGCTCTGTGAAGCTTTCTGGACATTCTCTGCCCATCAAACCTCTGTTCTGCTGATCTCGCCAAAAAACCATTTCGCCCTGTTCCCTACATGTTCCACTTACATGAGTCTTGTCTTCCTTAACAGCCCATTCACTCATTGTGGCTCAAGACTTTATTTCTTTCGGATTTTCAATAGCACCAAGTCTGTGCTGTGTGCACAGTAGCTACTCGATAAACATTAGCTCCACCTATCACCCTGCAAAGGCAGCGTGGTGGCTGTCCCTTGGCTAGAGATCTCCTTGCCCTAAGTTGGGACTGAAGAGACAAATATACAGTGGGTACAAGTCTCTTCACCAAGACCACTCCTTCATCAGGCAGCTGTCTCCCTCAGCTCGTCCCTCTTCCCACCCTATTCTCCATTCGAACCTTCTGCCACTGTCACTGTTGTCATCATCATCACCATCACTGAGTGCTTACAATGTTCTAGTTACGTGGCTAAGTATGTGTGAGATTTAACACAAAGCTTGTGCTCCTTAACTCAATGATACTGCTTCTACCCCAAGTGACTGGTGGTTGGGTAGGAGTCGGGCTCTCCAGACTCCAGGACGGGATACTTGGGTCCTCCTGCCAGGTTCATCCTTCTCCCATTGCTCTGCATGGCTAGTGTTTATTCCCCCAGTTCAGGATCCCCCTCCTTCTTAGGAAGCCTTCCCTAGCTGCACCTGCCCTCCCACCAGCCCCAAGACCTCCCTGCCCCACCCACTCCTTCAGTCTTATCAGTGGCCTGGGCTCTGCATTCATGTAGCCGCTTCTAAGACAACCCTGATCACACTGTGGAGGAGCTACTGGTCTGCTTTTCTCTTAGTCCATAGACCCCATAAGGGCAGGAACCATGTCTTTTTTCTCTGTAGCTCCAGGGTCTGTCACAAGGCCTGGTTGGAGTCCTTGACTCATTTACTGAATGTTTCCTGAAAGAAATGCACCTGGCACTGGGAAACCATAATGAAGGGAAGGGACCAGGTTCCTGTTCTCATGGAGGGCACAGCCTAGCAACCCAGGTATTAAGTACACGGGGAAGGACTGAGGTGGAAAATCAGAGTCAACTACTTAAGGATCCGTCTCTCCCAGCCCAACAGAATCTTCTGTGTTAATGGAACTGTTCTATATCTGTGCTGGCAAAATACTGTAGGCACTCACTGCATGGGCTGTTTTAATTTAACTAAAATTAAATTTAAAAATGCAGTTCCTCAAACTATCCACATTTCAAGTGTGCCAAATCCCTATTTGTAGTGAATGACTACTGCACTGGGTGGCTACCATGTTGAGCAGAACAGATCTAGATTTTCTGGTGAATATCCTTCTCACATAAAAAGGTTATAAAAAAGAAATGACAGGCTTTATAGCAGAAAGGTTAAGGGCATGAGATCCAGGGTCAGTCTACCTGGCTTCCTATTCTGGCTCCCTTAATTTCCTAGTTCTGTGACCTTGAACTTTCAGTTTCCTCATCTGTAAAATGGGAACAATCAAATACCTACTCACGGGGCTTAAACAAGATAATCCAGGTAAAGTGTTTAGAAAGATTTGGCCCAGAGCAAGTGTTCTATAAATGTTAAGTCCTACTATCAGAGAGGAGTTAGGAAGTAATAAGAAGCCATCCAGAAAGCAGGAAATCCAACACCAAGCTCTTGTTTCCCACGACTTTACTCAAGCCCCCCTAGAAAATACTTCCTCCCACCTTGCTCAAGTAAGCTCATATTCTTGGGAAAATGGTAAGTGGGTGTGGGGACTGCAGTCCCCACCTCTGTCTCCTTCAGCCTGGCACCTCTCTGCAGCCCTAATCTCACTCTGCAGCTGGTAATCAGCACGCTCACAGCCTCCTTATTTTTCAGTCTCCCAAGCCCTGCAGAGTTGGTATGTGGCAGGTGGCGCTTCTTAGCCCATTGTGATAAAAGGCAGCCTGACCCCTGAAACTGGTGTTCCCCCTGAAGTGTGGATAGCAGGGGAGATAGCTCCAAAAAAAGGCCTACCTGAAACCTGAACGCTTCCCGCAGGGTCAAATCCCCAAACCTGGCTTTGGGCTGGATCTTTTTCTAGGCCAGCTCAGGTTGAGTCCCAACCGCCATCAGACTCTGATTCAAAATGAAATGCTTTGGGGGCAAGGTATGGGGTGGCAACATGGAAAATACTACTCAAATTCGAGCTGCTGCTCAGAAAGGAAACTTCTGCACTGGGCCTGGAAGGACCTAGTAGTGTCCCAGCTACTGAATTACTGACTGTGGCCCTCGGGTCATTCTCGGAACAGATAAAGGAGGAATTTGCTTTTTGCTTCTGAAATTGCAAGAATGATAATATCAGGCTGAACGGCCTCAAGGTACCGCTCACCAGCGCTGGTGAAGTCCTCAGTTTTCCTGTCTTCAGGTCCGTGTGGGTGATCTGGAGTTGGTCCAAGGGCAGAGCTGGCATTGTGCTGCGTGACCCTCCTGAAAGGAATATGGATGGGAAGAAGAGAGCAGACACATAGGCTCCTGGTGGCAGGGGCCGGCCCTGGAACTGATGCCAGAGCCAGGAGAGAAGCTTCACCCTCTGGCCTCAGGAGGCTCCTGACTTGAGCCTCAAAGGCCTGGTGCCTGCACCTACTAATCCAGACGGAGCTGACTTTTCTGCCTAAAGCAAGAGCTCTCAACTGAGGAGGAAGACACTTGCCAAGTGACTCCTGAAACATTCCCACCCTCTTTGTGAAGTACTGGCTAAAAGGACCTAGATGATCTTTATTAGGGCTCCAGCTCTATGCCCTCCTTGGCCTGTGAGCTCTCTGAAGACAGTGCCTGGGCTCTCCTTCTCTTGCTATCTTTTCCGTGATCAGCACAGGCCTGGTACAGAGTTGGCCTCGTCAACTGTTTGATGAGTGACTCAATATAAGGACACTTTTCTTATAATTCTATGCAGATCTGCAGTCTATTTTTTTAGTTTTTAATTTTTTATTTAACAGAGATAGACCGTGTAAGTAGGCAGAGCGGCAGACAGAGGGAGAGGGAGAAGCAGCCTCTCCGCCAAGCAGGGAGCCCGATGCGGGGCTCAATCCCAGGACCCTGGGATCATGACCTGAGCCGAAGGCAGCCGCTTAACCGACTGAGCCACCCAGGCGCCCCAGCAGATCTGCAGTCTTTTCAGGGATGGAGGGATGGGCCTTTCCTCACTTGTAGAGGGTTTTAAGATTTTACAACCTCCCTAGGCTCCAGGGAAGAAGGACGTGGATGAACAGAAGGACCAGAGAGGATGAGAGAATTCACAGAAACTCGCCAGTGTGAGCTCTTTTCTGCAGAGGCCCAAGCCTGCCTCTGAGTCAGTGAGTGGCAGACGCCATGTCTCTTGTCTTCCCATCCAATGTTCTTTCCATGATTCTACTTGGCCTGCCCCACAGAAGGGACACGCATATTGGCTGGATCACGGAATGGAAGTGAAGTAGGCCCCTTAGATGCCATATAAGGCCATATAAGGCCAACACAGTCTCAATGACACAGTCTCAATGACAACACAAAGACATATTGAGGCTGGGATGAGGAAACCATCCGTCACCTTCTGAGAACCTCACAGATAAGCTGAGGGGCACCGTCAGCCATGAGTTATGGGATGTCCCATATCTCAGATATTAGGCCAGGCCCTAGTGTTATTAAGACAGAGTGATAATTCAGGGTCTCTGCCCCACAGGAGCTTATGGCCCAATAATTACAACGATAATGGCAGCAGCAGGAACATGCTTATCATGTGCTGGTGCTTTCCCTAGGGCTTTTCTCAGCATCAACTAGCTTTGCATATATTAATGCTCAGGACAACTCTAAAGTTAGGCCTATTTTTATCTCCATTTTATCAGTGAGGAAATAGAGACTCAGAGAAGATAACAAACTCGCCCTAGGACTCAGTTATAGTTGGTGAAGCTGGCTGGCTCTTAACCATTCGCTGTACTGAGTCTAGTGTACTTGGGCTTGCAGGGGGTATTGCTGTCAAGAAAGCATTTCTGGGGAGCCTAAATGATCAGGAGAGCCTGAATTGAGTCCTGATATTGGAGATTAGCCAGGAAGGAGGGTGCTGCAGGCCGGGGAAACAGTAGGAGCAAAGGTAAGGAGGTAGGAAGCAGCTTGGTACACAAGGAACCTTAGTTCATGGGCTGTTTTTTTTGTTTGTTTTTTAAGATTTTATTTATTTATTTGACAGAAAGAGAGAGAGCACAAGTAGGCAGAGTGGCAGGCAGAGGGAGAGGGAGAAGCAGGCTCTCTGCTGAGCAGGGAGCCGGACGTGGGGCTCGATCCCAGGACCCCAGGATCATGACCTGAGCTGAAGGCAGCCGCTTAACCGGCTGAGCCACCCAGGCACCCCAGTTCATGGGCTGTTTTAAAGACTGTGAAGATATCCATTCTAGAGGATGTAAAAGAGACAGGACCACTCTCTCTAGTCCTCAAGACCTGTTCCAGCTCTAGGATCTCCATGGGTCAGACATGTGGTCCCTGCACACGTGAGGTGGCCTCAAAAAAAATCATAAGGTGCGAAGTAATGAAAGGGGCTTAGCTGAGTTTTCACCTTTCAGCTTTCCAAAACGTAGATAATATACACATGTTGCACAGACGTTACTTCTAATCAAGTTACTGTCGTACTAGCCTCTCACAACAACCTAGTTACAGACAACAGGGACTATTACGCTCAGATGTCCAAAGAGGGGCTCTGATTTGCTCAAGGCGGATACATTAGTAACCAAGTTGAAACTGAAGCCCAGCGCTTCTGCCTTGGCACCTGGATCTTTTGTGCTGAACAGACTAAAAATACTTCTTTCCTAACCCCCCAGTGATGCTGGGAGGGCAGCTGAAAACACCAGGGGTCTGCTTGCCAGTCCAGAAGTCTAAATGACTCACAGGCCCAGTTCTTTCCATGTTCACCTGCCAAAGACGGTGGGTGGGAGTGTCCAATGTAGGGACCTAGGTTGGGGAAAGAGCCATAGTAGGTAGTGGCTCTTCATCCTTTAACTTCTAGGCCCTGGAGGCCAGGCCTAGACAGGTAGAGACAGCATCTGATTTCAGAAGAAATCCACTCCTACAAGCCAGTGCCTGTAAAGGCAGTTCAGACTCAGGCTGGTGTGGTGGTTAAAAGCTTTATAGTTCTGCAGCCTGGATTCATATTCCGGCTCCACCTTTTCCTACCCATGTTTGAGACCTGGAGACAGTTCCTTAAACTCTCTAAGCCTTGATTTCCTCATCTGTAAAACTGAGATGTGAGAAGTAATCAATGCTAAGTGTTCAACACAGCAGTTGGCATGTAATAAACACTCAATAAAGTTTACTTGTGATTACAAGTCCCAACCATAGGCACAACACTTTGGACTTCCTCATTTACTCAGAAAAGGCTGACTGAATACGTTTTGGGTCCTGGGCATGTAAATGACTATCATTCAGTGTGATCAGAGCTGTAACAGGAAATTTTCAAAACAAGCACAAGAGAGAAAGGGAGGATGTCTCCGAGAAGGTGACCCATAACCTGGTTGTTGAAGGACAGGGGGAAAGGACGGGGAGGAAGGGCATTCCAAGCGAAGAGCAAGTGTGAACACAGGCTCAGAACCAGTGGCTTTGAAAGAAGAGGGAGACATTTGGTATGGCTGAAAACACAAGGTCAGGTAGGGGATGATGGAAGTTGAGAGAGGAGGTTAGATAGGAAAGATGAAGACATTTTAAAAAAGAGCCTCCAATGTGACGCTAAAGATTTTGGCCTTTCATCTAAAGGCAGTGAGGAGTCATTTAAGTAGAAAAGAGATATAATCAGAAAGAAAAGACAATAACCCGGTGGCAGAGAGACTGCCTATGAACCACTGGAGAGCAAAGACCATGTTAATAATTTCATCCAGCCATTCAAAAAGTTTTTGAGCACCTACTGTGTGCCAGGCACTGAAGCCTGAAGAATACCAAAGTGGGCAAATAACAGATTTGGTCCTGCCCTTCACAGAGTTTACGGTCTTTATGCGAAAGACAGATATGAATCAAATAGCCATACAAACTAATAAAATACCACGATGTATGCCATGTAGATCAGGCACATGTGGCTGTGACAGCATTTAACAGAGAACAGACTTGAGGGAGGGAGCATGTCAAGGAAGATCCGAGTTTTCATCTAAAGTATGGGTAGAAATTAACTAGGCGAAGATGAGACTCTAAGTTCCAAAAGGAAAAGGACATTGATCGTGATGAAATCTGTGCCCACCACTGCATCCTTCATGCCAAGCAGGGCAGCAGAAGCCCAAACTTAAAAAAGGGCTTTCTTTAGAAGGTGAGCTTGGTGCAAGCACCAATTACAATAAGGCCTGGGAGCGTCTCCAGGGCAAATAGTGCCTCAGTTTCTCTGACTGTCATCACCCTTCAATATTACTTTCCTCAGAGGCCTTCCCAGACTGCCCAATCTAAAGTATTCACTCCGCAGTTACTGTCATATCTTTAATTATCTTGTGCCTTTATTTGTCGTTGACTGTCTCCTCCCACTGGACTGTATGCTCCATAAGGGAGGGTGCTTATCTGTCTTGCTGTTTGTATCCCCAGTGCCTAGATCTGTGGCTGACACGTAGGAAGCGATGGACATATATTTGTTGAACGAATGAATGAACTCCAAGGAAACTGAAACCCGGAGTGAGGGTAGGAGGACTGTGACTCATCACTCTGGGGCTGAGCCTCGAACCCGAGACTCCCGGCTCTAGCGGCCTGGCCTCAGGGGCGACTCACGGGAGCGTCAGTCTCGGCCCCGCCAGGCAGATGGGGAGGCTCGTGGCCGCCTGAGGCATGGCCGCGGCTCGTCCCACACCCGATGCCCCCATTCGGCAGGGCCCAGCCACGCACTCACCTCGGCGGCTCCACTACCGGCGCTGTGCCGCCGCCACAGCTACCGCTGCCGCCGCCGCCGCTGCCGCGGTCCACGGTGACAGCTCCCAATGAGCCGGCACTTCCGGGGTCAAACGGCGATTCCGCAGGCGCAGACAGGAAGCCTCGGCGGGCCCCGCCCCCGGTGCCAACTGCCGCCGGGAAAACGGGCCAGTGGCCACGCCCCCAGACTTAAGACTCCGCCCCCACATGGAACAGGCCGGACTATAACCACGCCCCCTCCCCCCTCCTATCTTCCAGAGATTCCACCTCTTGGAAAATCCAAGTATTGTACCTGGTCTTTCAGGATCTCAGGCTTCCATCTCCTTCCTAACCTTCTCAGTCATCGTTTTACACATTTAATGCAAAAGAGTAGTTTGAACAAGTTAGAAGCATGAACATGATGTTGAGCAAAAGAAAGCGAAGTAGTACAGACTACAATTTTGTTTATAGGAAGTTCTAGAACAGGCAAAACTAGTGAGTGGTGATGGGTTAGAATGGTGGTTACCTCTGGGGCTGGTGACTGGAAGGGGCCACAAGTGAGACTGGGACATTCTATGTCTTCATCTTGGGTAACTACATAGATGTGTTCAATTTGGAAAAGTCATCAAATTGTACACCTATGAGTTGTACACATTTCTGTGTGTATGCAATACAAAAGCGTTTTGTTTTTTGTTTTAAATCAAGAAGGTTGTGCTATAGCTATCTTTCTTTTTTTTAAAGATTTTATTCATTTGACAGAGAGAGAGAGAGCACACAAGCAGGGGGAGCGGCAGACAGAGGGAGAAGCAGGCTCCCCACTCAGCAGGGAGCCCAATGTGGGGCTCAGTCCCGGGAGCTTGGGATCATGACCTGAGCTGAAGGCAGACACTCAAGCGACTGAGCCACCCAGGCTCCCCATGTGGTATAATTATCTTAAAAGCAAAATGCAAATTTTCCACAGAATGTCTTAGGTGGTATAGAGTTGGTATTTCCCAAGTCCAGCTGTGCATCAGAATCATCACAGAAAGCTAGTTAAAAGTACACAACCCTGGGGCGCCTGGGTGGCTCAGTCGTTAAGCGTCTGCCTTCAGCTCAGGTCATGATCCCAGGGTCCTGGGATTGAGCCCCACATCGGGCTCCCCGGTCCGCAGGAAGCCGGCTTCTCCCCGTCCTACTCTTCCTGCTTGTGTTCCCTCTCTCGCTGTGTCTCTCTCTGTCAAATAAACAAAATCTTTAAAAAAAAAAAAAGTACACAACCCTGGCTTCATCTCAGTGCCTAGCACACAGTAAGGACTCAAAACCCATCACCGCCAGGGCACCTGGGTGGCTCAGTCAGTTAAGCATCTGCCTTTGGCTCAGGTCATGATCCCAGCGTTCTGGGATCAAGCCCCAAATTGGGCTCCTTG